CCGATGGGAGTGAAGCAGGTGACAATGACAGTAGTTACTTGAGCCCAGATGGACGCGCCTCTAGCATCCCACCAACTCCAGATCTTATCCATAATCGCTCGAGCACATCGATGTCCATGATGAGCAGCAGCACGATCCCCGAACGGTCAAGCCAGCAATACGGCCCGGGTGATCTTCCCACTAAAATTGTCGAAGATGAGGATGAACACGCTTACCAAATGGAGGGTGCGGATGGACAAATCGACAACGGCACCGTGTCGAAACAACCCAGTCAACACATCATGAGGCCGGATACTGGACGTATGGTTGCATGAGAATGCAAAGGTTCTGGAGAACAAGCATATTCGATAGAGACTCCCTTGACCATTCACGAAGCCCCACATGCATTTCAATTCAATTCAAGCTGAAGGGAATCTCGATCCACGAGTACTCATTCCATTCCCAATGGAGGCAGTATGGTCAAGTAGAGGCGCGCTTTGGGAGTGCATCCATGATTTTGACTTCTTCCAAGCTTTCTTACTACCCACTGTATTATCGCTAGGTGGACGATTTGTTTCTTTATCTCAATTTCTCAAATTTCTCTCATCCTTTTCATTTTTTCGAATCTAGATCTTTCTAACAACCAACATAGCTGTTCACTAACTCTTTTCAATCTGTCCATCAGATCAAATATGTTTGGTATATATATGATGTGATACCATGTGTACAGCTTATTTTTGCTTGATGTTTCCAATCCGCAACCCCGTTCTTCCCAAACTCCAGTCAGATTTAACCCAAAATATTATCCTCTCAACATATCCGCGTTTCTTTTTATCATTTCGACCATCATATCTCGCCAACACAAAGTGAAAGAGCAGGAAAGGAAAATGCTAGGCTCTATCTACATGCGTCATGCGGCTTTACAACTCCCAAAGCATTAGCAGCGGATGGATTTGCGTGGAAGGAAATTTTTCCCAACAATATGCCTGCCTTTTATACCACACCAAGTCTCCTGTAACTTTTTGCATATGAAACGCTCTTTTTCCATGTTTTGGATTTCTTTTTTCTTTCTCTTCGTTTATTTCGCAATCTTTGTCTTATCTCGCGACTTGTTATATGTGTATATGTATATATATTCTTATTTTTGCCTCCCGGCCCCCACTTTTTCTTCCCCAGCGTTCCCTTTGTGGCACAGGATTACACCCTCCTTTAGTTAACTAGTAGTATTATTTTATTTTATATATTTTTTATCTTTGTCTTCTCTCCATCTCCAGTCTGTTTTTTCCTCTTTTCACCTCTCTTTAAGTCCTTCCTCCGTTTCCCATAATTTTCTTCCTCTCTCTTAGTCTTTCGATTCTCCTTTGCTGTGTTTGAGGCTTGTTTTGCCTGTTAAAGTTTTATATTTAATTCTATTTGTTTCATTTTATTTTGCTATCATTGCTGATAGTTGCCGAACTCATCTCTCATTCTCCTCCACATGCAGTATTGCTTTTTATTCTTAATTTTGCTACGGCCGTATACGTCTATATAAGCACGCTACCCGCGCCCCCTATCGCACATAGCAGTGCTCAGACATCCTCAACAAAGGATGC